ATTAAAAAAAAAAAAGTTAAAGTATACCATGGCAGCAATATGAACTTCTGTGCAAACATTTCAGCTCAAAGCTGAACATGACGCTCGGCAGTCGCAGTGACTTCACAACCTCTGCCATCACACACACACTGTGTGAAAATGCCCAGTCACACTGACTAAATCACACGGCTCAGTGTGTGAACAATTTTCAATGGAAAACACTTTCTGTCATCTCACACACTCGGCACCAAGATCAAATTCCCACTGTACTCGGGCTCTCTCGCTCGCGAATGTTCTGAAATGGCAAAACACCACTTGGGCTGAGACATTTTAGAGATAATAGCATTTTGTGATCTGAGTTGCTCTGAGTTTTCCATTAGCGCAGAGGACAGAGAGACAAATAGAATTTACAGAACGGCAAATGAAGATGTGCCGGTCTGTGCCTCTTTTTTCAGTGGAAACATGAAAAAAAAATGTCAGGCTTCAAAGGGAGTGGATTTAATAACAGCAGCAAGCAGAAGTGACGAGGTATCCAACACATCCAACACCGTGCTGGATATCAGCTATGTGGAATGGAAATATGATTGGATTAAACTGACTTTTCTGTAAAATGTTGTGAATTGATGCTAAAGAAATAACCTGAACTGAACTGAAAAAAGGACACAAAGTTGAACAGACGCTAATGAAGGTCCAAAGTAAACTTACTTTGGACATTACTTTACTTTAACACCAAATGCCTAGTTTGCAATGTCGACTTTTGTCCCTATTTCCCTCTTCTGACAATCTTAATGATGCCCCAATTATCAAGATGTCTCCAAAGAGAATCTTAAGAGGTTTTCCTTCTGTGTGATTTGTATTATCAAGGATATTCAACATGTTGGATTGTCTTGTAGAGTTCCACGAAGTCCAACAAGAGCGGAGTCTGTTGAATGTGACGTGGAGTTGATCAGAAAGCAAGGTGGCGGAAACACGAAGGCGAATCTAAAATACAGGAGACAAAACAAACTGCCATGGTGCACCAGAATGTCTGTTGAATGTTGGAAACATCTTTCCATTGTTTTTTTTTTCATCTGTTTTATATATATATTGCACAATATTGTCATTACTTTTTCCCAGTTGGCTATTCTGAACTGTTGTTTGATCGAGAGGTTTCACGAGATTTCCTGTCTGACATCTGAATATTTGAGTGAAATGTGTGTGTGTGTGTGTGTGTGTGTGTGTGTGTGTGTGTGTGTGTGTGCGTGTGTGGTGTGTTGTTCCTGTCATGTGGCTTGGCATCACACAGTGTATGACCAAACCTAACCCTATGATTTCTTTTCTTTGTGTGGCTTGTGATCTCGTGGGTTTTGAAAATCGGCAGACAAATTTTTAAATCTTACCGTATGAACCAGGCAAGAGAATATCAGCAAAGGTTATACAACAGCAACTCCTAAGAGCTCTAAGAGCAGGCCATTTCTACAAAATCCTTCAAACTTATTAGAATATAGATGAATTCTGTGTAGTAACTTTATGATATTTCTGCCTAAAAATACATTGCTTCTGGAAAGTATTCACAGTGTTCCCTTCTTCCACATTTTGGAAGTCAAAAGTCCTATGACAGACAGACAGACAGACAATTGTTTTCCTTCTTGGCATTGAGCTAACACAAAACCAAATGTCCAAGAGCTAGCCCAGCCATCACCGTTCTGCACAATTCCACTCAATTCTCATCTCTCTTCAGTTCTCCGTCTGGGATTTCTCCCATTGAGCTGGATTTTTCTGGTGGAATTTCAACCTGGCCAATCAGTGGACAGAAGGAGAAGTTGTGAACGATGACTTTGATTTTCTGCGCCATTTCAGAATTATAGTCTGTCTGTAGTGAATTAACATGAACAGCCATCTTGTTCAGCTGGATCCTTCTCTCTCTTAGTCTGATGGCTGTTTTCAGAGCAGGTCATTTCCAGTAAGCTACACAGCATTACACTAGCGCATTAAATACTTTACTGACAAACTTTGTTACCTCATTTATTGACTTTTTAGACAAAAAAAAATATAGTGTTGGCCAAAATCAGAATCGGCAGGTCAGACTTTTTAAAGATCAGTGATCGGCCAGAAAACTGTAATAGATGTGTCTCAAGTTAAATTAATGCAACAGAACCATATGGCAATATTATCGAATAACAGCGTACTTTATTTTTTACCATGACTGAACTGATGTTATATAATCTGACCAATCGGGAATCAAATCAGGGTAAAATGTAAAAAAAAAAAAAAAAAAAAACATTAACTCAAGCATAGGAGTCATTATAAGGCTACACACCATGAACAACTGTACTATCTTAATCTAATTCATCTAATTACAGTAATCCAGTTATTCTTGTCATGCGTGTGCAGTCGAATTAGATTAAAAAGAAGTCAATTAAAAGTATCTCCATCACCTCAGTGCGGTGAGAGCTTGGAATAATTAATGCGTCTGGAACATGGGAATATTTCCAGCTTATTTTACCCCCAAAAATTGGAGGAAAAGAAGTTATAAAACTACTAGGTTACATGGTATTTCGTTGAGATGCTTGTAAATTGTAAGAAAGGATTACTATTATTATTAATAAGCTGTCCCTCCATTTTTATGGGACATAAACACTAAGATAAATCCTCAGTAATTTTTTACATACATACCTTTAAAATGTAAAGGTAGTACAACATGTCAGCTGTTTACATGTAAAATATGCAAAGCATTTTCATAAAGAATAACACTAAACAGTGTAAGGACAATTCTTTTTTATAAAAGCAACTATTTTTGTCTTTTGGTAGCAAACTAAGCGTTTTTTTTTAAAGTAATTTTCTATAAAATATTTTACGTTCCATTGAAAATTTGTGTTAATTCCTTTTTGGTAAAAGTTTGATTGAACCTAAAAACAAAATTAAAAGTGTAATTTCAGTAAGCTTAGCTAAATATGTTCATTTGTTTTGTTTAGCGAAACAAATTTTGTTCAGCTGGACCAAAGGCAAAAATTTCTGTCCGGTGTGTAAAGGTCGCTGACCCCTGTTCCAGACTCTAGGGGGCCACAGAAAAACATTTGTGTCCACATATTATTTTATCAGTCAAATCAAATCTGTTTTTATTTGTGTAACACCAAATTACTTCAGTATGAAAGGAAGTCTAATTTTATTACATTGTTTAGAAGCACTGTAGTGTTGTTATGCATTCTGCCACAGCCGGCCCTTTATTATTCATGATCTTGATGTGGCCCCAAATGAAAATGAGCTTGACGCCTCTACTCTAGCCCAGTGTTTTATGTTTCTATGGAAAAATGTGAACAATATGTCAGGATAAACACATCAGTGTTCAATGAGTTACTTCAGTCATAGGTTACAATATGTACAAATGAATAACATAAGGTCACAAACTGAAACTGTAAAACATGGTGTTCCTCCAGGCTCAGTCCTAAGAGCTAAAATGTTTATTCGCGATTTAAATATTTTTATAGCATCAAGTATTTTGAAATGTATAATGTTTGCTGATCTCTGCAAAAATGGATTAACCAATACAGATAAGACAAAAAGAACCTGCTGGGTTTAAAAGCGGTTTGATTATAAGTAATCCTTAAATTAAATATATATGTTTTTCCTGAATTGATATAATAATATAAAGATACATATAAATGGAGTTGAAATTGACAGCGTTCATAAAACAACATTTTCAGGTATAATTCTGGACAACAAACTTAGTTGGAAGCCTCATGTTGAATATGTTAGAAATAAAATTACAAAAACTACTGGAATATTGTTTAAAATAAAATATTTGTTAAATCCAGCCTTGTGTGTTATATACAGGTTATACGCTATTTGTCATATTGCTCAAACAAATAAAACAACTATTGAAATACTAAAGTTAGTCCAAAACCTATTAGAATTCTTAATAAAGTCATCAACTGGCTGATCAGCTTTTCACTCAAAGTAACACTTCAAAATCAAAAGATGTAGTATATATGAAACACTGGACACAATGTATAAATCATTAAACAATTCAGTAATTATTTAAGCTACGATAAAGTAAATGTAATTTACGAGGTTTGTTAATATTTTAATCTGCTAAAGAGAAAAGTAAAGAAAAAACTAGATGTGTTTTAAAATTATGAGCTTCTTTTTTGATGAGCCTTAAAACATAAAAGCTTATACTGGTATGCAGATGTATATGAATTCTGTAACCATGTGTGTAGCCTGTTCCTTTTCTGATAAATTACTGGTTCATAAAATAGCATTTCGTTTTGTTTTGTTTCTGAAAAATAATCTGAATTATTCTACACTATTTAAAGAAAAAGAAAAAACGTGCGGGGTTCGCATTGCGCTGCCGACTCCTGAATGAGCTGCATATTGTGCAGGAATTTCAGGGTGAAAAGCCTCAAATCTGACCATCGGCACCAGAGGCACGCGCCGGCCTCCCCGGTCTGGATGTTCACCTGTAAGCCCGGTGTGGAGCGATGCAGCTGCATGTGTGCAGGAACAAACCCAGCAGTAGAGCGGGGAGGGAAAAAAGCAGGAGGGAGACACTGCATCAAAAAGAGAGAGGGGGAAAAAACGAGGATATCCCTATGCGTGTGCGCGTGCGTGTGTATGTGTGTGAGAGGAGAGACATGCAGCCAATCAATTCACCTGCAGAGCCTGCGACCAGCCCGCTGCTCTGCGCTGCACAGAGGCTTCCCTCGCCGATGATAAATGCAGCAATCTGCAAAAGGCGCCCCACGCGCGCCACATTCCGTTTCATTCAGAAATTATAGCGCGCGCGTGCGTGCTCAGAGAGGGCCAGCCTGCAACACGGCGGCATGCACGCGGCCCCGGCCGGCAACAAGCGCTCACCTTTAGAGTGGTGTTGGGGTAGCTGAGCGGCACCTTGTGGAAGCTGCTGTTGGACAGCACAGCCTGCTGGATGTCCTGGAACACGGTGACGATGTCATCCAGGAGGCAGCGCCGGTCCCGGTGGCTTAGCACGCACAGATGCGCGAACGTGTAGTTGAAGCCCTTGTAGGTGACGCGCAGCTCCAGCACCTGCCGGTGGACCTGCAGGACCTGGTCGGCCAGCTCCAGGATGTTGCCGCCGGACCTGGCCAGCAGGATGAGCCGGCCGTATCTTCCGGGCGTGTGCAGATCCGAGTACAGCTTGTGCTTGGACTGGTCGATGGAGAACAGGCTGTTGGCGAGGCTGCGCTCGATCTTGGCCAGGCTGTGAGTCGGGGCGACCAGCACCTCCAGGTCCCGCTCGGGCTTGAAGCGGCTGAGCACGGTGGAGCCGAAGATGATGGTGAGCACCGCGGGGACGGTGAGGAAGAAGACGGGGTGCCTGCTGACGAACAAGCCGAGCCAGTAGAAGGAAGCCCTGAGCCCTCTGTGTATCACTTGCCGCAGCATCCTCCACAGAATCCGGCTCGCAGATGCCCCGTCTCCTCCGATGAAGCACATGTGACATCAGACTCCTGTTTTCTTCTTCTCCCCCCAGCCCCCCCTCCACCCACTCCTCCGACTCGGTACAAGAATTACCACCAGGCTATACGGCGGACGCGCTCGCGCGCGAGCACGCTCACGCGCACACACAACACCTGGAAGAGAGAGAGAGAGAAAAAAAAAGAAGGCAAAAAAAAAAAAAGCAGCACTGCAGCAATGCGGCCAGCCAGACGGGTGGACGCGCTACGGACAGGCGGCCGGTTAGAGGAGCAACATCTCGCCGCGTCGAGGGGATCCGAGTCGAGCCGAGCTCAGGCCATTCCGCCTCCCGGTCTGCTCCGCTGCACTCCGGCTGCAGTGGCAGCGACGAGCCGCGGCGGTGCGGTGTGCATGTGCGCCTCTCCTGTCTGCCTGCACAGCCCCTCACAGCGGCGGCGGCGGGCGCCTGATTTATGTACATAACGGGAGCCATGTGGCTGAAGGTGGGGAGGAGTTAGGGGAAGGGGTGTTTTGGGTGGAGGGAGGTGGGAGCTGGAGGATTTGGGGTGGGGGGCGGGTGTGTGTGTGCGCGATGTTGCTTGGTTATTTTAGGAACATAGGAGGCAACATGAGAGTTGTAAAACGCTCCTGCAGGTGGCTGAATGACCACCAGCGCTGGCAGAATGAGTCAGTGTTGCCTTCATGAATGGGGGAAACCCAGCTTGTGCTGCCTCTGCACGCCAGAGGAGGAGGAAGAGGGGGCTGGGGGAGTGGTGGTTCAAGGAAGCAAGACCCACCTGATTACATTTTCTGAAAGCGTTTGTACGCTTTTGGCCTCATGACTCACATACAGGGCTGGATTCAGGAGAATAAGAACCCCTGGGCTCAGAACGCTATCTGCGTTCCCATGAAGCATAGACAGTGGCGCAAAAAGGGGGTCGCATGCAACGCATAGGGGCGCAGCACTAGAGGGGGCGTCAAAACCCCGTCTGGAGGGGGCAGCGCGCCGATTATGTTATCCCATACACTTCAGCGCGCCTTACGCTACTTCACCTCGCGCACGTGACGAGGTGACTTTTGTTCATAATTTTTTTTTCTTTTTTTTGGCTGAGGTGTTGCATGTTTGGATAACTACACCCTCTGGATTTGGTTGCTGTGTAACAAGAGCCGTAGCAACAAGATGTCATTTTCCCCACTGGGAGCTGCTGAATATCATCTCTAAAGCGTAAGTAATACCTGAACTTTGACCCCAAGTCCCAGGTGAGTTGAAAAGCAGGCTTTCTGGATGCAGAGAGGAGGATAGCAACAGTCTTCCATCAGAGGCCTCTTCAGATTCTTTGTAAGACAGACTGCTACTGGAGACCCTGGCTGCCCAAAGCAACAGGATCCACAACTAATGTTTGAAGATTCATGGAAAATATGACTTACAACAACATTTAATTTTGTTTTGGAGCAAATGAAGAATTTTTGAATTTTAATTTAAAACAGCAAAGCTATGATTGCACCTAGATCATTAAGACATGAAAAAAAGGTCACTTTACTGGTCCTGTGAACATCTTCCAAAGCAGAACCTACAGCACCTTCACTTTTGATACTCAGGAACTCATCAGATGTGGATTCTGATGTGAATAGCAAAGATCTGAGTGTGCTCATTATATCACCCCAGCACAAACATGTATGCCGTGTTGATGAATAAATAAACTCTTCTTAATCATTTCTAACATTCCCACACTCCAACTGCCGTTTTCCCAGCAGCCCGTGTTGCTGGGGGAGTGAGATAAATACTCTGTTGTTTTAGCATGCTAATGTTTAGACTTGAAAAGCTCTTTGCCAAAAATGTTTTATTGACAAATCACACAGTGGGCTTGGTTGGTACAATTCATGCTGTGCCATGGAGAGAGTGAAACACATATTATTAATATATCCAATGTTGCATGTTTCGTTTTGTGGTTCAGCGCTTGCGCTATTGCACCGTCTGTGTTAAGGCACTCAAACAATCCTTCATTTAATATTATTAATACTGTAACATAAATGTAAGTCTGCAGATTTCCTACATGGGAAGCCTAAATCAAATGCTACTCGCTGACCATGTAGTTGTGCTAACCATAAAGCTCTAATCATTAATTCTGCTTGCGCTAAAGTGCTACACTAACATGGTGTGCTGCAGAAGCTAACGCTAACGTTTTATACCAACACAGTATTTGGCAGAAGCTAATGAATGCTAAAGCGCTAACTTCAATTCAACATCTGCTCTTGAAGAGCTACAATTCTCAAGCACCAATTTAATTTAGATATTATTTCCATGTTATGTAATGATCCTCACATATTGTATTTATGCTGATATCTTGTTCTTACTGTTTATTGTTTTTCTGTTTTTTGTTTGAAAGAAAGTTAGTGGCGGGGAAAAAAGAGAGAAGGTGAGGAGAGGAAATGGAACTGCTGCGTCTTCACATACTTAAAAATAAAAGCATGAATATAAACAGCTAACTACAGGAATAATTCTTAACAGTTGTCAACAAAACATCAACACAGTTATAAAACATTTTTCAACTGAAAGTTGACAAAACAGCCAAGTAAATTTGTGCTTTAGAGAATTTATCTGGAAAAAAATTATTTATGGGACGATAAGTGAGCTAAACGTTTTCAAAGTTAGCAAATGTGTTGGACAAGAAATTAGCTCTGCTGTTAGCACATTAGCAGATGTGGGATGAATGCCCTGCTGACCACATTCCCCTTCAGTCTCTCTGTTTGGACGAATAGTTCTCTTTTTAATAAGGCTAATGGAGATAAAAAATATTACCTGTCACCTCATAGGTCCACGGTTATGCTGTGTATAAAGTGTAGCATTAGATAAACATTTTGTCATGAATTGGTGAGTGAGGGGAGGATGAACGCAGAGACCCACGTAGTGAAGGAAATGATTTAATGACGGAAGCTCAAACAGTCCAATACAGGCGGCACGGCAGAGAGTTTAGCACACAGCTAATTACCGGTAGCAACTGAAATACAGAGGACTGAAAAACAAGCACTAACGCTAACCAGGACTTCGCAGTTCTACTGGAGAGCATAGACGTAAGACAACAACTGACATTAGATGAGGACCCGACAAGAGACAAAGACAACAGGGAGGGAAATCAGGAAAACTAGACACAGCTGGGATCAATCAACAGGGAGGACAGGACATCACAGAGACTCACGGGGAACAAGGACACAGAAAAAAACAAGAAATAAATACACAGAAACACAGGTCGTCACACATTTTTCTATGGAATGGATCATTTTGGAGACTAGTAAACTCTGAAAAAGCTTCAAATTAAAGGCAAAAAGTAGTAAAAATCCGCCAGTAGTAAATTACAGATAGATTTGTTCCCACTTATTTACTCAGAAGTGATTCAACAGGTCCCAAGCAAATGGCATTCAGTCAGTTGAGATGATACTTGTATTTGCAAATCTTTCTTTCTTGTAAGACCCCACAGTCTCCAGGACCTCCATGGCTGTTTGAACATGGCTGCTGCGAAGCAAATCTATAAACTTAAATACCATGTGGAGGCGATCAGGGTCCTACTGCACTCTTGCTAATTGCCAATTAGGTTTTTCACTGTTTCTGCACATACTGCCATAATAAGCCATACATATCACATCTGCATTCAGATGTTTCTTCACAATCTATGAAATTTGTGGAAATGTGGGTTTATTCTGTAGTTTTCTGTAGGGAATTAACAGGATTTAAACCTCTGTATGTGTGTGTGTGAGTGTGTGTGTGTGTGTGTTTGTTTGTGTGTGCATGCGCGCGTGTATGTATGCATGTGCCTATGTTTTGTCTTGGGTCTGTGTCACTTTATAAAAGTGATTTTCCGCTTGAGTGCTTGTTTCTCAAATGCTGGTGTTGTCCTGTAATCCTGCAGGGTCCTCCAAAGGTGTCACATCCTCGTTGCTAATCAGAGCCATGCATCAGCACCTCCGCAAACACACACACATGCACACATACACACACACTGCTCACAAGAAAGCCTCTGCACTGTGATTTTTAAATGCAGTTTTATACACTAGCACACACACTCAGACACACTAAAACATGGCCCATTTGCTGTACACATCATCAAATCTTTATTTTTCAGTCCTTGGCTCAACAAACGCTTTCATTGTGAGAATTCATCTAACAGCGAAATGTTCTGATAACATTATTACACTGAAGGAATATTATGCGGACAATGCTAAACTGATGAACTGTCACTCACCTCAGCATGCCAAATGCTGGCTGATTTGCTGTTATTAACTACGTGTTGAACCGGCGTACCTAGTAATATGGTAAGAAATTCAGGTGAGGTGAACAACATTAGCTGTGTTTCCATTCACCATAAAATTGCACAAATTGGAATCACAAAAATAAATTTGCTTAATGGAAACGCAACAATTTTGAACCAAACTCCCATTTTGAGTATGATGAGGTGGTTTTTCGACTATCTAAATTAGTGTACTTCATAAAACTGCAATGGAGACAGATTTTTGGCATCACACCAGTCATGTGATCAACAACCAGATTTTACTACTGGTGGAAAAGATGAAGAAGACAACAGGAACTGGTAGGAGGATGATGACGCATCTTTTTAATGACTTATCTCGTGAACAATTATATTTACACTTCTTATTTAATGGAAACACAACAATTGTGAAATTGTAGGGGGATTCTTTTCAACATTAGTAGAATATTGACAAAATTTTGCGCAAATTTGTAATGGAAACGCAGACAGTGGTTATCTCTTCACAACAACAACTGATAGTGGGGTGTAATATTTTTGGCAACCTTTAGCATTTTGTCAACAAAATTGATGTGTTGAATCAACTTTGCTGGAGAACATGGACAACAGTAGTTACATATGCCCCAAATTATGATCACTCAACCAGGGGCATGTCTAGATTTCTTTTACCCATTTGTCATTTGTGAAGTTATTTTTGTGCAGTAATTTGAGTTTGCTTTTCTTTATTAATATTAAACATTATATATGTTAACCTGCCAATGGAACTAGAGATGGAAATAAGTCACTTAGCTATAATTTCATGTATTGTATGGCCACATCGCTGAGCTGGGCAACTGGATCATACTTTTTAAAAAATAGCATGAATAGGGGAACATATTCCCAAAATGGTGGTTGGATTTCTTTAACAATGACAGGGGAAATAAAATCCAAAATAATTTTCCTTCATTTGCTTCTTCTACCTGAAGGATGCAAATAGAGACTTCTCCAGATTCCAGGATCCCCATTTAAGGCATCCAACAATTACGCATTGCAATTCCTTGCTACCTCACAGCTCCCTAAACTTACTTCCTGCCACTTTAAGCTGTGGAATAATTATATCCTTGTGATTCCAGAATCAAAGAGAACACATGTGCTGGTTTCCTGAAAATAGCTGGCAGTCGGCACAAAGAGCATCACAGAAGTGTCATCCATTCCGATTCCCAAAATACCTCTAAATAACGAGGCTTTATGATTCTATTCCTGTCTGCGCTCCATCAGCAACACAGGCAAGAAGTGACAGCTAATG